GTGGATCCGTCCAAAAATCAATTTCGTGGCTTTTATTTTCGTGGTTTTCTACAATTCGGCCATCTTAAACCGTATAAAATCGATTTTCGCAGATTTTATTTTCGTGGGTTTCGAAAAAAACGCGAAATCCACGAAAATTTTGGGCCACGAAAATTTTCCGCTATACGGTAGTTTGTAATCATTTCTGGGATGAGCAAGGTGCTAGTGTTGTCTGTAACATGTTAGGATATTCTTCTTATGGTGAGTGGATTTTTAATCTTCTGAAGATTATAATGAGCATACAGTAGGTGAATAATGAATGTGTTTTTGAACAGCAATTATGTTTAAAACAGCAATGAAATTAATGTCAATTAGATTTTAAGAACTCTTAGAACTGTAATTGTATTTGGGTATGACCCCTTGCCCCTCCTATTCCTCCACCTATGAATTGGTATAACATGTACTACTTTGACAAAATTAGGCCAAAGTCCCTGTACCATGATCTTTGGTTTTTTAGATGCATGTAAGTCTGCCTAAAGATTGGTTTACAATATGATGTTAGGCCAGCGTGCCATCAAATTTTAATCCAAAGCATGGGCGATTTGACCTTTTGATGCATGCTTTCTGCTAGACTAGAACCAGATTCTATTCAAGCATCAACTTAATGTCAGGAATATCGTGATATTGTAAACCAGCCTTAAGTTAGGAATTGTGGGTTCAAATTTAACTCTTGAGTTTTTACTGAGACATGTAGGCCCTTATTTGAAGAAATATTAAACGATTTTCTTTTGTAGGTGGATCAAGATATTCATCCCATTTTCTTCATTCATTTAATGAAGTATTACTGGTTACTGATGTATCCTGTTCTCCAACTAATGAAAGGATTCAAGATTGTTTAATTACTACACGCCACCTTCATCCTGTGGTGTCTTGAATGTTTTAATTGTTAGATGTCAAAGTAAGTTAGAAATTTTGAAACTTTAGCAATTGAGACAGCCTTAGAAGATTGTATTTATTACCAAGAGTACCAAGCTTAATATCACTTGTACTTGTACTTGTATGCATTTTAGATTCTACAGTACAGTACAGTGCTGTTCATGTCTAAATGCCCCTGTTATGGAAGCATGCAGCACTAGCTACATGTATGTCACTTGGCATGATAAAGACCACATGTACATGTATAGGAGTCATTGAGAATCAGATAATGACTATTTTGTAAAAATTATTTGGTAGTTGTGAGTGAAGTTATGTATTACCTTACATTTGACAATGCCCAATTACCGTCTGTAACACATATACATGTACGATATACATTCTCACACTATGCAGTTTCATCATGCTGTATATTGCCCTCTCAGTATTATGTGCAGTCATGACCACATGTATAGTCGGTTTCATTTGTAGCAAATGAATGTTTTTGTCGTTACAACGTCATGTATAGCCCCACCCAACTATAATGTGCATTGTCTGTTTTTCTTTGAGCGTTTCTTTTCCTTTAACTTACTTTATTATCTATATTATACCTCTACTGTGGCTACTGCTACCTCCATCTGTCTTTTGGTACATATTTTAGCTGGTATAGAGCTCAGGATATGGGTGAATCAACGAGTGTATTTGCAATGAAGAGCAACAATGATTGAGAAGGCTGTGAAGTCATGTAGCAGAACTGTCCTCAACAAAAGGCTCCTAGTTGAATAATAGTAGGTCTAGAGAACTTGATATGTTTTGTTTTATATTTAAAATAAAGACGAGTAAATACAACAAGATTCAAAAGATATTAAGTGATGCATACCTTTCATTTCAAGTGAAAAAACCATTTATAATCTTCCAGAGTAACTGAAAATTTTTTTGATAAACTCATTGCCAAATTTCAAAATGCTATCATTTGTAAGGAAAAAGCTATAAGGGGTGATGGTGGTTTTTCTCAACTAAAATTGACTATAGATTCATTTGCTATACTTTTACACAGTAATGTGTACATGTATGTTATGCAAACAATACTCTCAATCTCATGCATCCTGTATGGTCATAACATTATTGGACAATGCTCTATTGTGAGTAGTCATGAGGGCATGCATTCATTTACTATACTGTACGTGTATGTTATGCAAACAATACTCTCAATCTCACGCATGCTGTATGGTCATAACATTATTGGACAATGCTCTATTGTGAGCAGTCATGAGGGCATGCTATACTGTATTTTATATACATGTAGATTAAGGCCTCATTTACTCTAATAAACAAGGCTGTTTTTATTATGTGCATTCATTAGCAATATCCAGCAGCTGCATTATTTATCATTATTTTGTTTATCTGTTTTGGTATTGCTTTTTGTCCTTTTGAGTTTTAGTGCATATGAAACTCATATCCACCAAAATTACAAATGTACATGTAGTTATGTCAACCAAGTATTACCAAGTGCAATGCACTCCTGTATTTACTTGCTGATAATTGTAAATTCACTATGACATGACTGAAGTACTTGTATTGAAACTTCCATTCTGTATGCACTGTAATAAATGTTGTATGTACTCCAACCTTCTGTTGATGTAATAGTATAATAAGCAGTGACGCAATGCAGTCTTGTTAATATAAGAGCAGGGGTTTGATCAGTTGATATTCCTTGCCCCTCTCTTCAAATCTTCATACAGTGACATGGCATTCATTTTGAGAGGTATCGATAGTTCAACCGCATAACTTGCAAGTTAACTATCAAATATAAAGTTATGCATGCTTTTGATATGAATTTGTTATTGACAATACTAGGTTTGTTATGATGTATGTCTAAAAGACTGGCCTCCTGGCCTGGCTACTTTTGCTTTCAGTTTTGCATAGCCAGACTCCTCCCTCATACACATGTAGATCTACACACGTATGCCTCCCTTTCTTGACCTTTGTCAAAAGGGAGAGAAGTCTACTTTCCCTATAGATACTACATGCTAGCATTGTTAGTGCAATAAACTTGAGTTTGTTTTACCAACATAGTGGTGAAGTACTCTGCTGTAGTTGTACTGTTTGACAACACATAATACAACTTATACATAGTGCATTAGGTCTTTTGTCTTGTCTCTCTTGAGAACAATAAGTGAATCAGAAGAACATGTTTCCTTCCTCTTTCCTCCTCTTACTGTATAAAAGTAATGAGACCATTTGCAGTAGACAGGACTAGTGAGGAAAAAACCTTTTCAGTGTAAAAGAGACAAGATGTTTACAATTTCAGCTATTGATCCAGCCCTAATCATACTGGTCAATATATATGCTGATCAATTTAGTGACAGGCAAGATACCAGTGTCTATAATAATGGTGTGATGCAGGTCAGTGTATTCGTTTCAGTCAACTACAATGGAGAGGCAAGTGATGACGAGATAATAAAATACGTGCAAAATAAAGTTGTTATATATTCGTTGAATTATGGAGAAAATGTTCAATGGCAAAAATCTACAATTGATAATGGTTTTCTTCATGATACAGAACATGATGCGAACGAAAGCCCATCAATACCTCCTAAAAAATCAGATATAAGAGCTGTCTTGTATTTCACTGTACCAGGCGGTACTGCTGAAGGAGAGCACAAGTGGATTGCTAAGCTGGATGGCCAGCAGACCAGTACCAAAACAGCACTAACTATTACCGTTGAACCGTTCGAAATTTCTGCAGGAAATTTAGAGCTTGTAAAAAAAGTAACAGTGAATTGTGCTGTATTGTATGTACTGAAGTACAAGAAAGGTGTGTTCCCAATAGCACAAAAATTGAGGAATTGTATTGATTTCAAAGGAATGAAGTTCAGTGGAACTGGTGCTAATTCATGGGTCTCAATGGTAATGTCAAACAAAGGTTATAAGTTGGGGGCTTTTGTTGAATACAGAGAAACAAGTAACATACAAATAGGTAAGGCTTTCCATGAATATTCACAAGATGAATTGGTAATAAAGGGCTCTGGTTTTGATCTTTGTCAACAAAGCTACGCTGCCGAAATCTTTTCCTTGTGTATAGATGATACCTTGGCCTTGGATCCTGCAGATGTTGATGCCGCCTGGAATGAAGGAGTAGTTATGCTACAGGTGCGTGAGGATGGTCTAGGTATTTGGTGTATGATACATCTTGATGTTGAAGAAAATGATTTTGTATTTCAAGACACCTTTGGTGGCAGGGTGGAGGTCAACATTAACTGGGATGCAGGTGACTCGTGGGGAATTTGGACCATTAGGTCGGCTAAAGTTGTATATCCTTAAAGATAACATTGGCTGGAGGTCATAAACCTAACTACATGAATCATTAACTTAATTTGATTTTAGGCCTTTTGTTTACTAATATTTTGCTACATGAGTTGATAATTTAATATGATTTAGGCCTTTTTCTTTAATAATTAAAATTATAAATTTTATTTGATTTGACTGCTTTTGCTATTATGTAAATATATTACTTGTGCTATGTATTAGCAAATAGCAATGCAGCTGTATAGTTGCATGTGCTGAAAAAACCTCAATTCAATCTGTTGACTTCACTTGATTTGTGTGATGATCCTTGATGTATGAAGTTTTTACTTCAATCACTTCATATTGCAAAATTGCACATAATGATGTGAATCAGATGAGAAAAGAATAGCAGACATTCTTGTTCTCACATGTACACACCAAATATCACCAGTTTAGCCAATTTTGAGCTGGCAGAGCAGAATCGTGGCTTTTGTATCTATTCAAGGACTACTCAAGATTTAATTAAATGCACATGATTGACTACCATGACATAGGAATTTGTGGATAATGTGAGTGATAAGTGTGTAATAGTTTTTATTGAAAACACTGATCAACCAAAGTCCAAAGTGATAGAGAGGAATAATAAATGTGTGCGTGCGTAAAAGAACCAGAAAATGCATGAAACAAAATCAGCTATATACAAACATGCATATGATTAAATAATTGTGGTTACAATTAATGAATGACATTATATTACAATAATGTGACATAGTGAAATTGACTCCTAACTCTCTCTCTCTTTTCTTATGAAGTTTTTAAAAAACCGTCTGTATTATCTCTTAAGTGTAAAAGTAATCTTTTTTCTCATAAAAGTTCAAAATCAACGTCGAATCTACGTTACAAAAATGAATGTTAATTAATGCATGCACACCAATCATGATTAACTAAACAAATGTAAGACATGAAGGGAGTGAGCGGCTACAAATAACTGAGACATCAATTATCAGTTTAAAAATATTGTCATATTATTATTTTTTGTAGAATTTAATATTAATGTGTACTTAATGATGTCTTCATATTAGAAAAACATGATCAAATTCAACAAAATCAAATGAATGTGTACAAAATTTGCGTTTCATTATTCATTGACGTCTTTATCTTTTTTAATGTACAGGAGCGACAGTATTTTCTAAAAGTTATTTTGGACATAAATCATCAAGCACTTATACACTGAGTAATGTGTACTGTTGTGTGATAACAACTTCACTGTTGGACAGCTATAATTCTCTCTCATCTTTTATGTTTTGTGGAGCTGAAAGCATGGGCGGTATAGCTAGGTATCTACTATTTTGTAAGTATTCGTGTTATACTTGCATGTAACATAGATTGATGTGATTCTGGTAATACATGCAAAGCTGAGTGGTTCTGATACTGAATCTCTGGTTGTGTTAAAGTTGGTATAGAATCAGTTTGGACATCACTCTGTGGCCAGAGCTGGGATTTGAAGGATGCACAAGTAGGTTGTAGAGATTTAGGATACTATCCCTTTGGTGCAGTGCCAACATAATATGGTTGCTAAATGAGGGACAATACTGTATCAACTGTACTGGCTATGAGAAAGCTTTAATGAACTGCTTACACAGTAATCCAGTACTCTCATAATGATGCTGGGCTTATTTGCCAACGTAAGAAATATGGAAATATTTGAAATGAATATGGTTGATTGATATAAATGATGTACAAAATCTAATTCAGTAATTGTTCTAATGGTGCAGTAAGACTTGTTGATGGTAGTGGACCTCATGAAGGAAGACTTGAAGTGTGTATCAATGAAGCATGTGGCACTGTCTGTTCTAATGGCTGGAATAACACTGAGACTAATATTGTCTGTCATCAATTAGGATACCTACCAAAATTATAGTTATTATTACTCACTACTTAAACACTATTATAGAAGAAGGTAAAAAAGCTTTGATTGGTCTTCCTATATTATTGTCTAGTCTTCAGTGTGTAGGGACTGAGAACTCACTATTAGAGTGCCATCAACAAGCCTGTTGCTGTGTTGAGTACTCACAGCTTTGATGGTGGCAATGTATGTGAAAGTAAGACTGCATGTACAATTGTACATTACTTATTTTACTATCATTTCTTAACAGCTCCTGGTATAAATGGTACTGTTAGACTTGGTGATGGAGCAGTACTAAGAGGAAGAGTAGAATTTGCTACAATCATTCATGGGTTACTATCTATTCTCATAGCTGCATGGACAGCAAAAGAAGTTACTGTCATATGCTCTCAATTAGGATATTCAAATTATGATACAGCAGAATTGAGATACATTATACGGTATACATGTATGTTGTATAAAATGAAACTCAATTTTTTTTATAAGTTCTATTGCATTTATTAATGATGAGTGGTCTATGCATGGGCATTCATACAATCTTAATTTTACTGGCACTGCGACTTCAAAAAGGACTGTCCGTTTACTACCCTACAATGGAAGAAACTGTGATCAGACAGAGCAATGATGCTTCTGTTTTTTGCATGTGTAAGTTTGTCTACCAAATTTGATAATCAATAAAGCAGCTGGCTTCATTTAGAGGCTACACTGGGGCTGATGGGCAATGTTTGAGGATCCTATACATTAATTTGTGAAAAAAGTTATAATTATGAGCAAACTAAATGCTTCATAACTACATGTAACAGCTATTTACAAAATTTATCTCTAATGTTAGTAGCAATATGATGTCTTCCTTCTTTATCCAGTGCTGTAGCTAATGATGACCAACTGGGACCTCCTTTCTCTTTCACTTTATCTTCTCTCTTTAACCAGGCAGACATACACTGTCTGAAGCACTTCTTAGAGTCTCCATTATTATCTTCATTGATGTCTTCTAGTGTAGGCTGATAGAGTCCTAGCTGAAGGCCAAGATCATGCCATATATGGCATGGTAAATGGTTGAGTATTGTTAGCTCTTCAATGACACTATCAAGATCTCTAATATCTATAAAAATAATAATGTCACTAATAGTTGACTCTGCCACAAGTGGGCGAAATGTGATAGTACATATATTATAACATACTAATATTTATGTTAGTGACTATTTCCTCAGCTACTTCAATCAATTCCTATAATAATAATAATAATAATAATAATAATAATAAGAAGAAGAAGAAGAAGAAGAAGAAGAAGAAGAAGAATGAGGATGGAGCAGGGATCAGCCCTTATACTACTGAGTATTATATACTGACTATCAAAGTATTACTGACTATCACATTAATTCTTTAGTTTTCTAAAAAAAATTCTTTCCTTTTATTATGTAATAACTTCATCTGTTGTTTTTATTTGTTGTGTCTGTTTTATAATAATAATAATAATAATAATAATAATAATAATAATATGTGGCTCTGGAGAACCCCTTTCCTCTTGTGAGGTGGATGGGTCCATCTAACTGCTTGTCTTCATTGTGTCCCTTATTTTGTTTCCTTTTTTTCAGTACTGTTTTTCTATCAGGTTCTCCCTCTTCTTCATGTATATTTTCTCCTCATTTTGTTGGCTTGTTGTCCTTTTCTCTTGTACATGTATTATTTAGTCATGTGCATGTTCATCAAATTCAATGCTACAATATGTGAGTACATGTATATGCATACACATGCAACAAATGTTGCATATAGTGTATATGTATGTAGTAAAAGCCACACAATTGCAACCCACAATTAAGTAATTGGATAAACATATGACCTTTTATAGTGTTTCTATTTATGTATCAAACAGTTTGTATGTGTAAGATCTTACCTTAATATCACGTCCTCCTAATAGTGACAGATTACTAACATCTGATAATGATTCATCAGGTAGGATCTCCATTAATTCTTTATGTCCTGTATCGCTCACAAGAAATGGCCTTCCTTCATTAGTTGCTGATAGTATATCCAAAACTTCATAAACCATCCTTTCTCTTGGTGTATTCACAGGATAGGCTAGTTCTTTAGGATCAATAACTAACTCTTTTACCTCTAGACTGGGGCAGGACTCTTTATAAACACTCATTACCTCTCCTAATACGTTTCTTCTTAAAGACACCATGTTGTCAGGGGCGTAGCTGAGGTAGGGCCAGAGGGGGCCTGGGCCCTACCATCAAAGTAGCCTTATAATTATATTCATTGAAATTATAACCCAAAAGATTATATTCATTGTTCTTACAATAACAAAAGGGGGTGGCTGATAACCACAGCTCTTTTTAAAGCTATATACAATGATAATTTCACTCTGATTTCGCTCAGCTTGCAGGAAAATGCTTCCATTTTGTTACGTAAAAGGGGTGTGGCCAAAATTGCGGCGCGCTTCGCGCGCCATTTTGCTTCCCTGCCCTGCCATCACCCAAGGTCCAGCTACGCCCCTGCATGTTGTCACTGTAACCTTTCTCACAGGACATCATTACCAGGGGCGGATCTAGGATTGCATTTTTGGATGGGCCTTGATGATTTGGGTGTGGTAATTAGTGGGTGTGGCCAACAATGCCTGCAATCAAACTCAAAATTTTGAAGATTAATGCTGTTAAAATGAGCTCCTTTGTGGTTTACAAATTGTTTGCATAGTCATGCTTCACAGTTTACATAGTTATCCACATGAAAAAGTTAATTTTAAATTACTGAACAAANATTTTTGGGTGGGCCTGGCCCACCCTGGCCCACCCCTAGATCCGCCCCTGATCATTACTAGTACACACTGGCTCTCATCCACAATCTCTACCAGTGATCCTACACCATAACCATCAAACCAGTGAAGACCATTACTCCAAAATCTACATTTACGGTTTAATTTTTCAGCTAATTCTCTGTTCCCTTTTGATAGTGAAAACTTAAAAGCGAAATGTAATGAGAGAACATGGAAGTATCGAGGAGGAAAGAAATCATATTCTCTAGTACACTGTAAACACCAGCCAAACTGGTATACTTGACTAGTCAATTCTTTCGGTCTATCGCTAGTTAAAAGACATGGAAAGAACAACAATCTATCACCTCTTCTTTGAGTCTCTGAGGCACTGTCTCCTGTCTCCTCTCTAGCTCCTGCTAATAAGTTTGTCATTCTTAGGAATGATGGATTCAATTCTTGACAAAGTTCCATGTTCTGCAGGAAACAGATCAACATGTCAGGATCATATTCAGGGAAGAGTCTAGTCAGACCAGACACACTAACAACACCAGTATTGCTAGCAATGTCAACGTGTTCTTTGAATGTCTTTGGAGCAAAAAGAATCCCGTCCACCTCAGTTAGTAGTATACCCTTATTCACAACAACCCATACCTTGTCTTCACTTTTAAGAACACTGATCAAACCAGTTGAGTGCAATGAATAAAGAAGCTCTAGTCAGTAATTTCATCCCTGTGATCTGGTAAAACATAATTATTACTGTCTTTAGATGCTAATGTAATGTCAGATAAAATCAAAATATTCTCTTTCCTTTCCACCAGTAGTCGGTACATTTCATGATGATAAAGACTTGATTTATTCCTTCTTGTATTACGAATGGACTCACAGGCACTAGACAACTTATTAAAGAGGAAATCCACACCACTCCCACCAAGCTTACGACAATCTAAAAAGATACTATCACACCTTTCCCTTACAATAACCTCCTTTATTTCTTCTTTTCTCCTCCTTTCAATAGGATTACTTATCTCATCCACATGACTGACTATTACAGTAACATGACATTGATTAAGAGCTTTCTGTGCTTCATTCCTCACAACTGTTAGCCATTGATGAAGCTGTTTGACTGCTTCATTCTCCAATGCATTGACTATTATGAGGAACACACCACCAGAGCCTTGTAACAGATTCTCAATGACAGCACTGTGACTGGAATAGTATTCTGAATGACCAGCAAAATCATGAAGAATTATATTACCTAGTGCCCTGTGTTGTAGTTTATAAGGAATGATACCAGCAGTACAAGGCACTACCCCTCCAACATTTCTAAAGGAACCAAGAACAATAGAACCAGTAGCTGTGCCATTGATGACATGACTAAGAGTACTTTTACCAGCTCCAGGATTGCCCACAAGGAGAATGTTAATATAAGAATCAATTGGATGAAATACTTTAATGTTACCAAACTTCTTGAAGATAGCAATGATAGTATGATTAGTATCACTATCATGTCTTCCAGCTATTTGTAATGGCGTCCTCCCCTTATTGTCCTTAGCCAAAGGATCACAATTACCAGTTAACAAAAAGAATTCAATAACTTCAACACTGCCCAGATTGGCAGCACAATGAAGAGGTGTTTGCCCATCCTTATCAGTGATCATTATATTGCAACTGCATTCAATGATGAGGTATTTAACAACATCTATGTGTCTGACAGCACAGTGAAGAACAGTTTCGCCTCTATTGTTAGTAGTCGCTATATTGTAGTGATGTGCACTGATGAGGTACTTTAAGACATCAAGTAACCCTTTACTAGCTGCATCATGTAGAATAGTGTCTCCATATTTATCATGAGACATTATATCACAGTTACACACATTTATGAGGTACTTTACAACATCTATGTGTCTTACAGCATGATGAAGAACAGTCTGACCACCAGTATATTGTTTATCCATTACATGACCATCAATGTTTGCGACAATACACTTCAGAACATTAAGTAATCCTCTACTAGCTACGTAATGAAGAAAAGGAATTCTAACATACATAGTAGCGTCCTTCATTGGATGACAGCCACACTCTTTAATAAGATATTCAACTATGTCAACGTGATCGCCTTCAGCAGCTATATAAAGACAGGATTCACCATCATAGTATTTATGTGGATCAAAATGACAACTAGTGATGAGATCTTTTGTAACATCTAACCAGCCATTCTTTATAGAATAATAAAGCAAGCTGAAGCCAGGCTCCCCAAAATTATGCAAACCAGTAGTAGATCTAATTTTGTGTAAACGTAGTAACCGAACAGCTTCTTTATAATCTTCTTTAATAAATGCTTCCATACATTGCCCTTTCCCTTCCGAATGCTGACGAGATCCTTCCATCAGATTATTTGACAGATAGAGCTTGTGGCATACCCTCGATCTAACAAGGCAAGTAAGTGGCCCTGGTTTTATTATCTAGTTTCGCGTAGTCAGCCCCTCCCATCTAGAGCCAGCCCGCGCCCCCCCCCGAAGAATGGGCTTCCCTGCGCCCATAGATCTATGCTGTGCCTGAGCATAGATTATATATACGTACCGGGATAAGAAACATTCCAAACCGGATAAAGCAATCCGGGTTACTTCCGGTCACTTATCTAAACCACCCACGTGTAATTATGGCTACATTTA